TATATGATGGGGTTTTGTTCAACAGTTTTGCTAGCATTTGCCCAACCATCTGATATAACTTTACTTAGTCTTTTCTTACATTTTAGGGTTTGTTTCAACAGTTTTCCTAGCACTTGCCCAACTATATGATATAACTTGCCTTTAGTCTTTTCCTATATTTTAGGAGGAGATGACACACCTCAACTATCCCTTTGTTCACATCTGATGGCAGGGGAAGTGCAGCATATTCTATGAAACTGATATGTTACTTTTTTGGTATTTATGATGATTAGAGAGGGTTTCACCACTAACTGACCCAATTAATTGCGAAAAAGCTAAAATGATGATGATAGAGAGTTTCACTGCTTTCAAAATATCAGACTATGTATAAAAATGTTGTAAAAATGTCGGCTGATGTATCGCTAGTGGTCACTTGTTTCGATGTTACAGTAATAAAAGTGGAAAAAGATTAGCATAATACTTGGACCTCATGAAAACAAGGAACTCAAATCTCACCAGAAATTGCAGTTTCAGCATCAGAAATTATATAAAAAGGGTGATTATTTTCAAATGTTCAAATGCCACTGCAAAATCAAGTTCCACGTTTGTAAAAGAGCACAGCAATAAAGAAAAGAATAAGCTTTTATGTGTCTCAAAGTAAATTGGTCATCTTTAACTAAACAACGGCCTTTGTACCTCTTTTATATGTCAAAGTTTCTCTTTATAAATAGAGCAATGTATTTCTATTTTTGGAAAAATTCTGTTATTTTCTATCTTTCGTCATTCCTGCTGATACTTTCCATGTTTTGTTTTGGATTTTTTTTTTTTTAAAATCACCTCCGACAATGCCCAATTTATCATAACGAATTTGTAATTTAATGGTGCCATATTACCATTTCCTCCCTTGTATTTGACTGTGAATTTATTCCTGTTTTTTTCATAATATTTTTATTCTTCTTATATTATGTTAACTTGAACATATGTCTGAGGTTAATTGCACCAGTTGAACTGTTTATGTATGACACTTTAGAAACATCGATATATTTTTACTTTGTTCTCCCAAAATATCAACACAAGTATACATGAATGTTGCTTAAATCTAACATCTTCCCTCCCAAATGCAATACGAACAAGTTTTGTCTAGAATGAAATTTGGGTTGTTTTTTTTGAATTTTTGCTGATGTATTTGCCCATGCTGACACAAAACCAACATATAAAACACTGCAAAACAGCAGCAGCATTTGGCATTTTTCGCAAAAGGTGTTTGTGACACCTTTTTATTTCATTGTGTGGATGCAATGCAGGGCTGTTGGCTTTCTTTTTTTGAGGCATTTTTCTTACCCTGTTGCAATCAGAACCTTAATGCTTCACTCATTTCTGTTGCAAAATAATTTGTGCTTAAATAATGTTACTGTAGATATACTGAATATCGGTTTTCGAAACCTTTCAGGTGGTCTCTGTGGGTCACATGCTAGTTGTTTTGGGAGGATGGATTCCAGCCACTCTTGAAGTTTCCAGCCAAATATTCCTCTATGACCTAATTTCGGGCGAGTGGAGAAGAGGTAAAGATATTCCGGAAAAATGCTCCTTCTTTGCGTGTGCCTCAGATTCTGATGACCGGATCTTTGTCTCTGGCGGCCACGATGATTTCAAAAATGCCCTCGCATCGGGATTCATGTACCATGTGTCACAAGACCATTGGGAGAGGCTTCCTGACATGAGCCGGGCCAGAGATGAATGTAGAGGGGTCTTTGCACGTGGGAAATTCCATGTGTTTAGTGGTTACAGGACAGAGTCTCAAGGGCATTTTGAGGGTGACGTGGAGGCCTATGACCCCGACATGTGTACATGGGGGCCAGTCCCAGAGGCCCAATTGCCTGATGACACGTGCCCTAAGCCGTGCATGGTTGGGCCCACAGGTGAGATGTACAGGTGCCAAAGAGATGGGCTCTTCGAGTTAACACATGGCAAAAGATCCTGGCAACAGGTGGCAATCATCCCCGAGGGAGCGAGGGTGAATCCGTATGGGCTGATATGGCATGGTGGGGTAATCGTCGTGGGGTCAGGGAAGAATAGTGGGACCCAGTGTTGGTACATGTGGCGTGGGGAGAATAGGTGGGACCCAATGGAGCTGCCTGATGGGTACTCTGGTTATGTTCAAGATGGTTGCTGTATAGAGATATGAGCCTTGCTATTTAAGGTTTTTTCTTGAAAAAATTTTGTTTGTTTTTTGTGTACATATTATGGGGATTTGAAGAGTTTTCCTCTTGTTGATCTTGCTCATGGGATCATGTAATGGAGTTGCAATTTGAGCTCTTTAGTGATTCTGATGATCCAAAGCTATAGTTGTTTGAGACAGAGCATGGTACCCTAGATTTAACCCATCAATGAAACGGATCTTGTCGTATACTACTGTCGAAAATGACCCTAGTTTGAGCAATCTTTTTCAGCTCGACAAGTCAAAACAAGTCGACTGCTAGCTCGCTTATGAAACAAGCTAAGATCAAGCTAAAACAAGTATAGCTTGAGCTTGAATAGAGCTTGTTTAATATAATGTATACAAGAGAAAGAAAAACACAATACATTTTATTATATATATATATATATATATATGTGGACTTTATTTCAAATAGGAAATTTGCCTTGCAATAATATTATATAGTAGAGATGTTGTATTATATGTTGCTTTGTCTGTGTAATTTATGGTTTTGGCTTTTTTATGGCTCGAGTTGGCACCTTCATGTACTTGTTCAAGCAAATGAGCCAAGCTAAGCTTATGCTCACATTCCCTTTAATCAAGTCAAGCTCAAGCTCAAGCTAGGTGGCTCAAGCTCAAGCTCAAGCTCAAGCAGGCCCTCAACCCCAGCAAAACAAAGTTGAACATACTGAATTCCTGCTCCGCTTGGCTCCTTGACATCCAAGATGATGGACTCAGCTGGTCCTCTACTCGAGCAAAGTTCGCAGAAGAATGGTTGATCTCCACTGTCCATTATTGTGAACAGAGGGTGGAGACCTCCATCTATTACAAGAGACTGAGATTGTAGACTTGCTCTAATGAAGCTGTAAAGATTCAGTTGCTTGAGATGGAGTATGGGTCATGCAGTTCATGCTTAAGATTTGCTCTTACCATGGTGCTTGGCCCATTTCTCTAGGTAGTTAACAATTGAGCTGTTGATTCAGTATCATACAAATCAAACTTTATATAAAGTCCGACGGATGGTAGGATGAAGCTACAGTAATGGTTGGCATGTGACTCATACCAACTATTACTGTAGATCCTTAAATTCTGTCACATATAAGATTGTATATCGTTGTTACAAGAGAGTCACAACCACTCGTAAGTATCGAATGTGATCTGCCGCATGTCACATACAAGATTATATATCTTTGCTATAAGAAAGTCAACCACTCTTAGCTATCGCATGTGAAACTTCGGGGTGGCTATGGAAATAGCATTTATTTTCTCTAAGCAGTTGAGCATAGCCTTTGGCACACCTCCAGCAACTAGATTTCATATGTGATGGTCTACAAATCCAAAACTGTGGAACCGAGCTAAAAAATAATACTTTTTGAAATAAGATTTATTGGACACGGTTTTTATGAGTCCTAGGACTCATAGGCAGATATGAGGTCCCTCTTCATGATCTGTCTTTGAGATATATTTTGGACTTATTTTTGTAGGTATATACAATCTGTTGACATGTAGAACATGAATGTGCAAAAAAATATGTAAATTTTAAAAACTACAAAAAATAAATTTTTGAAAAAAAATGTCAAACCATTGACTTTGCATTTTTTTTTTTTTTTGGTGAGGCCACAATTCCTGACATGGAATTTACCTCAGGGAACACAAATGTAGTTATGAGTTCAACCAATAAAAAGTGTTAAATGGCAGCGCATGCACCATCAATCTTGCCTTTGGAGGTGCAGAATACATGCATTATCTTCAACAATTTTGGCATTACCATACCATATATTCAACTTTAATGGGAAGAGAGGATTGTCTTTACATAAATAAATCAAGTTAGAGCAAGCTAGAGAAGGGTATTCTAAAAAAAAAAAAAAGCAAAAAACAAAAATTTCAAGAATCGGGAAGCATCAGCTAGGGTGGCAACAGGCCGGCCTAGCCTGGCCCTAGTCCCCATAGGGACCCTAACCAAGCCAAAGAGCCTAACTGGGCCGAGCCAAACAAAGCCAACCTTGGCCCAGGCCCAACCCTACTATCAGGCCCTCATTTCTTGGCGTTAGCCTAGCCCTCAGGCCACATTTCGTAGCCTAGGCCCTAGCTTTCTTCGGCCGAGTTGATAGGGCTGGGCCAGGCCACCCAACCCATTGCGACCCCTACGTCCAAAAAGCTATGATAAAGTTTCTAGGGCTGTAAACATGTCGGGTCTGGGTAGGGTCGACCCCCAAACCCCAACTTCAATCAATGTCCGACCTGGACTTCAAACAGCTCCGGGTAAATTAAACCCCAACCTTAAAGAGTCAATTGTTAGAACCTGGACTTGGGTCAAGTCTAGATCAATTGGAGCGACATTTGACTTACCGAAAGATACAAAAATAAATACAATATTAGCGTAACATATTTTATATATGAACAATATTGAATGAGACTATTTACTTTTGATACAAGTTGGTCACAATTAATCTTGACCATCGGATTTGAAATTCAAGGGCTTCAATTATTCCATTGACCAAATTCAAAGTTCAAAAAATAATTCTCAAGGTTTGTAACACACCAAGCTATCAAGTTTCACATCAAGAGGTCAAGTAATTGTAACCTCCTTGTCCCAAAGGTAATGGTCTCATTGTATACAATCCCATAAGTATAGGAAAATGTTTCTATGGAACCCCACTGACATATATAGTATATGTGACCCTTGATCTCAGTCGCCAGAACTGAATAGATGGCTGAAATGGCTTGAGTTACAATGTCAAAAGCTAACTCTTAACCATTAGATTTTGATCGGACGGCTCATAGTTTTTTATTTTTAATATTTATTCTTTAAATCATTTTAAGCCAAAATTCAGGGCATGCATAGATCTGACAAGGGCGCACATGATAAAAATAAAAATAAAAATATTTCCGATGCTGAAAATTTACCAAAATACCTCTCTAAATTTTAAGGGCATTTTGGTTATTTATTTTTATAAGGAATATTTATTTTTTCTAGGTTTGGCCTAATTTTATGATGGGACACCCAAATTTCATTCAAAAATATTTTGTAAAAAAAATAAAAAATAAAACAGTGTTTGGTGTGACATTGTGGTATAAACAACCATAATCGTTCAATTCAGATCGAACGACTGAGAAGTGGAGTCCCATATATATAAGGATGGCATATTATTAGACCACTAGTCTTTTATATGAAGTTTTCGTAATAAATCATAGCCGCCAATGTGAAATCTAATAATCTAAGATATATTGTAAAGTTTGAAAATTTTTGTTTTGGGTTTTGAGCCCAATCAATGAGGCACTCTCTATCATGTGATTTTATATCCAACAGTCAAAATTGATTGTGACTTTTTTGAACTGAAAATAAATGACTTAATTTTATATTTATTAAATTATATATGAGCTATGTATTCTAAATGAATATCATGGGTTATTAGGGTCGCCCCAATATGAATATCAAACATAGGTTAGGTTAGGTGCAGTCTAATATTCAGGTCCAAACCCTCACCCAAATCAATTCGTCATCAGGACCCGCAGTCGGTTTGCAACCCCTAGAGGCAACTGACAGAGCTTTTCATATTAAAGTGGACCATAACAATGAGAAAAATGGACCCCTAGCGGAAACAAGAGAACAAGAAAAACACATAAAGATTCAAAAATAGGAAGTGGTTTGATAGAACTGCAGCCCTATCAAGTAAGTAAAACCTCATTCAAAATTCATTGAAAATTGTATTTCTAAATAAGTGGTTGGGTAGTGGTGGTAGCACGCTCACACTCTAGTCACCACGTTGTGGTTTTCATTCTCAATGACACCACCTTAGTAGTACCTTTAAAAGACTAACTCTTAAACTATTATGTCTTCTCCACTAAATTACCCAAAAAAACAATGCAATTATGACATTGGAAAACCTTCAAACGAGCACATCGACCTTGAATATTATGCATGCTAAAAACATTAAGATTTTAAGCCCTAAAAATAGTTTAGATTAAATCAAATTATCTAGACCGTCTACTAATTGTTCACGGATAAGCACGATTTGTACCATTTTTTTAGCTTTAAATTCATAGTTGATTTTGAAAATTGATTTTAGAGCCACTATGAAAATTAATGCCTTCTGGACTAAAATTTGAGGTGAGGCTTTACTTTGTTTTCATAAAGCCTTAGCCCTATAGAAACTTCATCTTTTGAAAATATGGAAATTAACATGAAAAGTCAAGGAACTAAAGTTAGTTGTTTTTACACTTTGAGAAATCCATGACAAAAATCTTTGATATTGAAAATCCATAGATTTTTTTGGATTTCGAGTATCTAAATTTGTTAATTTCCTTCTATCCAAACGGCCCTAAAAGTATTTGGGATCGAAGAAATATGCAAACATTTATCCCGGCTGAAGAGCAAATTAGCTCCCATGCTTGTATTACTACATGTTAAACTGGATTTTTTTTTTTTGTCCCAAAAAAAAGGGGTGATCACGCAGGACCAAACGCGCCTGGCAAAACACCAAATTACGTGGATTCATCTCTACGATATAATCTCAAAGAAAAACAGGAAATTTCGAATTTGGAGTTCCAAAATTCCTAGATTAATTTGAGCATGCCGATCGTTACAGTCCATTTTATGAATGATCTGATCTACGATCTTAAGAGCTGGAAATCAACTTGCCATTTTCTTTAAATAAATTGCAACATGAAAAGATAATTTTAGAATTTTCAGGTCACACAAAGTCCCCACAATTTGGTGTCTTGCCTGCATGACCATATCTATAATATGGCGACAAGACCACCATATACCATTAACTATGCGTAATAGATAATGGCAGAATCAATTCACTATTAATTATATTAAGTGACTACATTTATTTTTGATACAAAATCACAATGACTTTTAGCCATTGAAAGTAAAATTCAATAGATAAAAATATATCATGACATTTGAGAAATTTCATTTTAGAATTTTTGTCCAAACAATGAACATCCTCAACCACCCGATTTCAAATATAATGGTTAGTGATGATTCTGACCTCCTTACCTACAAAGTAAATAAGGTCACATTGCATACATTTCCATATAATTAGATGACGAGAAATAAGTCATGAATAGTCCTTATTTATCTATTGTAAATACAACATGAGCCAGTGGTGCATGCCACAAGGACATCCACCATCCAATCCCAATGGCAGACGGTGGAGATCAACAGTGCAACCATGTCAAAACCAAACAACGCAATACGTCCACAAATCCACACTAAACTGTTTTGGGTTTGTATATGATGCTATTATTTGGGTTTCCTACAGTTTTCCACCACCAACCCAACCGCTCTACTTCTCCAGTCAACAAAGTTGGTTTCCAATGTACAAATCTCTTATTGATATGCTACCACGGACTCATGAAGTGGTTTCCAATGTACAAATCTCTTATTGATTTGCTACCACGGACTCATGAAGTGCTAAAATAAGAAATGCATACAATAAGACCATTTACTTTTAATACAAAAAAATCGCAATCATTATTAGCTTGTAAATGTGAAATCAATTGGTTGAAGGCATCATTGACAGACACAATGTCCAAAATAAAATTTATCAAAATACGTAACACTTTCATCTCTCAAATTTTACATTTGATGACTAAAAAAGATTGTAACCTCCTTATATCCAAATTATATAATCTTGCGAAAAAAATCTAAAAATGTAAGTAGTTTGTACATAAGTACATATAAAATGCATTGATACACAAATCATATTTTTAAACTTTTTCAAATTTGTATGATTTGATTACATCACACATGTATGCCTCCACTGTTTGTTTTTTTTTTTTTATCGGCAACTGTTAGTAGGTAGGGTTAGCAATTTTTTTGAAACCATTAGTAGCTTTCGAAAGGGGTTAGGATTGATAGGAATGAAAATCGAAACCGGTAGGTCAGCCATAGGTCATGACCTCAACGCTCTTTTCCTAACATGCCTTTTAACTGTTCAAGCTTCCTTTTGATGCTTTCATATTTTCTAGAATACATTTATGAACACTTCCCAATCATAAAACTGTAAAGTGCATGCATCCCTCATAATCTCCTTCACATGAGCACTAATGCCAAGAACTTCGGTACGGCCTATACTAACCAAATTACTCAATTGTAGCAATTGTTAAAATATTAACAGTCTCATTAATAACTCTGGAAATACTCAAAATTTTCCAAAGCATACCTAATGGAATCATTTAGAAAAGGAAAAAGTTTGCATAAAGCCAAGGCTCTAAACAATCAACCTAAAGGGCAACTCAAAATTTTCAATAGAAGAGATTATTTTAATGCCCAAATATCCTCAAATTGATCATCTCTCACATCAAAATGTATGGACATGAAATAAAATAGATTTCAAATTTTGAAAATAGTGCATCTTGTAATGCATTCTTGTAATGCATTTTTGGACCATCAATTTTCAAGTATTCAAAGATCTGCTCGATCTACACTATTTTTTAGCTTTAAATTATATAATTATAGATGAAAATATATATTATGGTCATCACAATGATTTCCAATATTGAAACCACATTTCTCAACACTAATTGAAAGTGCGCTCTACTTCGATTGTTTAGAGCCTTGGCTCTATACAAACTGCACTCTTTAAATAGGGGCAGCAATGAAGGTGGCATATTTTTTTGCTGTTTCAAAAACAATGGCACCGAAGATTTCCCTGCATGGTCCAAATAGCGAAAACGCTTCCTTTTCCGGCCAAAATGAAGAGCACTTCAACGCAGAATCGTACAACAATGCTATCAGATTTTAATATTCTTAATTTTCATCTTCTCACAGAGAAAGATTTAAATAACCAAAAAAAGCTCTTAAGCACTTAACTTCAAGGTTCCACACCAATCTTTTCCCTTCGGGTGGGATAGCTGGGATTCATATAAGATCTATCAGAAATAAAAAGCACGTTGATCGATGGAAAAGACCAAAGTTCACAAAGAAAAAAAAGGAAAAAAAGAAAAGAACCAGACCATCAATACAAAACCAACATACATGTCAATTAGTGACTACAAAATTATAAATATCACAATCCCGAATAATTCTAGCAGTACTGATTAACCAAAAATAAAATCAAGTGAATTCTTCGATACTTCTAACCCGGAGCTCCCAGAAATGACCTCCCTCAAATTCAAGAATATCCTTTCCATTTCTAAATTTTTTTTTTTTCTCCCGGCTTGTTTATGTCATGCAATGCAAGGGGGGCAACATTGGCATACGATGTGAGAAGAACCGAAAAACAAATACATGTCACATACATCAAGCATAATAGATCGATGAGATGAGAGAGAGAAAAGGTCCCCAACATTAACCAGAAACGGTCATAGTTCAAGTAAAATCAAGAGCCGACTGTTTTATTAGCACCCATCAAATGAACAAGAAATTATTGGAGAAGCTCACCTCACTGGTTGTTGATTGTAATGGGTTTTCTCTTTCTTCTTTGCAGCCGCAAGCTTTGCCCTCCTCGCTGCTGCCTCAAGGGCGGCGGCTTTAGGGGCATCAATCTCTTTGCCGGGTTTCTTCTTCTTATTAGATGAAGCCACCTTTTTGAGCCTCTCTTTCACATCAACAGTTGAGGAATCCTCCTCGGTGGCCTCAGCTTCAGCTGCCACTTCTTCTGGTCCATTGGCCTCTGTGGTCTCTTTGGATGGCTTATCCTTCTTCGCCTTCTTTTTTTTGGAGCTCTTTCCCTCTCCAGCTGGCGGTGGACCCTCTTTCTTCTCAGTTGTGACCCCATTCATTTCCTCGGGTGCTTGCTTCTCTTCCTTTTCCCCTGAGGCTGCATGAAAATAGGTCCAACGGTATCATAAGGAACATTTGCATTGTACAGTAATAAAGGACATGAAGCGGAAGAATGAGATGCTGGAAAAACTGCTAACGTACTGAGCATTCCTAGAAACTAACATTCTCTCTCTCTCTCTCTCTCTCTCTCTCTTTCTCTCTCTCTCTCACACACACACAAAAGATGCACACTCAAATGCACATACAAGTACAACAAAGACAAGATTACTGATGAATCCAGTCAATTAAACACGACAGTAGCAAGATACTCAAAATCCTTCAGAAAGTATTTGTGTGCTTCATCAATGAAGACACCCTTAATTTTAAAAGACCCACCCACCAAAATCAAAGAACTGCAGATATCCTATTTGACCATCTGATTTATAGGGAAACAGCACATATAAATATCTCAGTCAGTTTGCATGAATATTAAGGGAATAACGCATCAGCTTATACTGCTTTCATAGTAAAACGCAGCCATTTCACAAAATGCCTTGCATGATATTAAGGGAATAACACATCAGCTTCTAGTGTTTTCATGGTACAACCCAAACATTTGCTAATATAAAATTCAGCATATGAACCATTTCACAAAATTCCTTGCATGAATATTAAGGGAATAACGCATCAGCTTCTAGTGCTTTCATAGTACAACCCAAACATTTGCTAACAAAACATTCAGAGTATGAACCATTTCACAAAATGCCTATTCCCAAAAGCTGGGCCATTTCTTTAAGATGGTCATTTCTTGGGGATCAAGATATTTTGAGAGGTCTTATAAATAAAAAATTTCCATTGTAGACCTGCATAATTCAAAACCCAGAGTTGCATTTGCATCCACGGACATGAATTTCTGCAGTCCCCTAGGATCGTCACTGGACCATAAATGATGGAAGGTGTTGGAGAGTAGGATACATCATCCTATTTTTGTGGGTCCCACTACCTCTCTCCATCATCCACCATTCATCAGATGATCATGACCCCAATAGACAATTGTTTTCCATAGTCTAGTAGTACCTTCCCCTAGAAAATACCTGCTACCACATGCATTCCACTTCCACAGAAAAAACAGGAAGAGAAGATCTATTTCTTCAAAGTTAACAGAGACAAAAGATTGAAGGGAACTATATATTGGGAATGCAACGTGGGTAAAATGATGTTGATTGAATGGGACAAAACAAATATCTCACATGGTGGGAGAGAAGCATAAGTAACCAAAAAATTAGAAGTATAAGCACAATAACCAGAACAAACTTTTGATGCCATTGAACGTTGTCAGATGAAAGCTCAAGGATACACCTTCAAATCCATTAGAAAAGAGCTCAAAGCCATATATTATAAAATAAAGTCTCCAAAGGAAGACAAATGAAATTAGGCCAGGCAGCTAAGGCATTCTACGCAATGAGCACAAGAAGATCTCACATGATGTGATGTTATTAAGGAAGATAGAACATATAAATATGTTTCCAAGTTACAAATGAGCTACAAAATGCTTACCTTCTGATTCATCTTGCCCATTTGTCTCCTTTTGACCAAGGCCCAACTCCGCAAGAATAGCATCAAGTTCTTCTAGCCCCTTCTTCTTTAACTCTTTCTTGGAAAGCTGCCTTTCCGGTTCCTTGGACACTAGAGCCACAGGAACAGACTTCTTTGCCACTGGCTCTGAGGCTACAGCCTCAGAGTCAGCCTCAGCCTCAGCCTCAGCCTCAGCCTCAAGCTCATGGTCGTGGTCATCATCTACATCATCATCACCTTCATCTAATACATCCTCCTCACTTTCGCTTTCCTGAGAAATGACCAATCAACCATCAATATTACTAGGGCAATCACAAAAGATCGCAAAACTAGAGAAAAAAAATATAAAGATAGTATGAATAGGAAATTACCATAGAAGCAAAAGTAGAGGAATTTGTGAGCATTGGGACTTCTACATGTTTTTAGACTTTAGCACTAAATATTGCATTTTACGGAATCTAAGAGACCTTCTCTTTGGGAATTTTCAGTTCAAGTACAGATTGGAAATTTTATTGTAATTTTTTTTCCTTTGAAAAAATTTGATGAAATAGTGCAAATTAGTAGCATGTGATTTTCATAAGCTTCCAATAATGGAAAAAATGGGTCAACATAAGAGTGGACTTGAAAGCATACATGCCGACACAGGCATCAAATGACATCTGTTTTTATATTTTAAGAACAACATGAAGTTTCATTAATATGGGCTTATTAGAGGCCCCACCAAGTCTCTATAATTTGGCTTGCAATTTTTGAGGGCCCGTTGGCCAACCCTTTGGTTCAAAAAAACAGAAATGGAACCATTTCCTGATATGGCCAGTTTTGGACATTATCCTCAGGAGAAAAGAAAATGCATTTATGATAATGAACCAACAAGCTGCCACAACCCACCACCTAAAAAGAAGTTCTAGTTTTTCTTTTAAGCAAAATGGAGGGATTCAGCCCTATACCCCTTTCCAAGATCCCCGGGATTATCTTCAGAATAATGCCTAAATTCCATTAAACAGAAGGAGCTAGTGGTTTTGCATCCATTAGAATGCAACTAACTTTATAATCAGATCCTAGTTTCATAGGGCGATTTTAAGAAAATACAAGGACTGGTATGCTTTCATTTCCATCGCAAATCCTCGGATAATCATACAGCTCAAGTGCACATTATTTGTCGTTAGGAAGGAACTTCAGAGCAGTTACAAAAAGCATGAAAGATGCTGGTTAAATAGAGCCATTGCAGCAGCAAATAATGCAAATATTAGGAAGGCGAGACCATGATGTAAATATGATTTCCCCTCAGCCATTATGATGGAAAAAAAGAGAGTGACAGGATAGCACATTGGAAGACATTTCGCCTTCAAGGTAGCACCATGCCAGCCAATCACTATATGATCCCAGCAAGGGCATTTTTCACAAAGGGACATGTCTTAGGCTGTCATAAAGCAATCAATGCATGCCATGCAACAATTTTGTACATCCTTCACACAATCAATGAAAGCACCAGTCAACAATACAAAATTTGCACACATCAATGCAGCATCCAATTATCAAAACTCAACAATACTGGCCCTTATTTCAAGAAAACAAAGTTCTTGGGTGTGGTCTCACATGACAAGTTGCGGCACTAGCCAAATGCAGACTGCAGGATTAGGAAACCAAGTACATATCTCGGGTTGCCATTATGCATAGGGAAACCAAAAAAGGAGATGCTGGAGGGGTATTACAAATTTTGAGCAAAACTGGCCTCTTGGAAATGAGTGTTTCCATCTCTCGGGGGTAGAATCATACTAATAAAATCTCCCTACCTAATTTAAATCTCTTGAAGGTAATTGATGTCAGCATATGTGAACATGAAACACATGGTGATTGTGAAGTAAAACATTATCAAACAGAATATATACTTTTTGGAAAACAAAATAGCCGACATTAAAATGATGGAAGATCTTAGCATCTCAAAATATTGCCCCTAGTCGATGTCCATTTATTTCCTACATAGTCAACGTCCATTTATTTCTTACATTATTCTTTAACATACCATTTCTTGCAATATTCTAGCCCAGATTAGGACCTGACCTGATGATTTTTTTCAATAGGTTATAGTTTAATCAAACCACGAAAAGTCCTTAAAGAAAGGAATAATGCCATGAAAAGCAACACATAGAAATGAGTATTACGTGTCATCAAAATATGGTCAGTATGATTGATCCCATGTTCCATGTCCCTAAACTCAACATATTCAAAATTAGCATCACCAAACAGAAATAACATCATTCAAAAAATACCACACTTAGAATCATTTCCAAGCCTATCACCCAGTGTTTCCTTAAGAACTTCCACATAAGCAATGTTTTCGAATGCATTGCGTTTTAAAATCCACTAGAAGAGGTTTCCTAATCGTTAAATATTTATTTAACTTCAAAGCATAATTAACCTCATCAAATAGCCAGATAGACATTAACCATCCCTCCTCACAAAGGATGTGCTAGATCGAAAAAATTACTTCATGGACACTCCAAAATAATAGCTAGTTTCGCAGCATCACAATTTTTGGTCAATATCCATCTAGCCTTCCAACAAAACGAGCCATTTTGCAAGTGAGATGAAAACTCGTATTCAGTTTTATCTCACTAACAAAATGGAGGTATATGTGTATATGTGCGTGTTATATATATTGCCATCCCAGCAGTGCTGGAACGTGTTTTGGGGCCGGCATGCAGACAACCCTAAACTGTACTGGACCCACTGCCAAATTTAAGGTAGCCCATATGTACTTCCACACCCTCCAAAGCACCTCAAAATGTACACCTTTCAAAACAGAGATCCTCTAGAACTTCACAGCATTAAGCTATGTTGCAGAAATTCTTCACCCTAGGCTATGTACCCATATTAGACACTGCTGGACAAGCATAAGGGTACAGAAAGGACACACCTAAATTATCTATAATGAAGAGTAAGAAAAAGGGAACTATTGGGACACGTGGACAATTGAAATCCAACATGTCACGATACTTCTCATGATGTGTTGAGTTTCTTAAAAGAATCTTGCAAATACAATAATTTTTAAAAACGTGAAGAAAAAGAAAGTGATAATCATCTCAAACCCCAAGTACTTAAAACCTAATATCTCCCACGTCACCAGAACTTTATTGGATTATTGAATTCTTCACTGGATACTTGCACGAAATATTATATGGGAACTTTGAAAAATTTTGTTAAAATACGCCTACGTTCCAATCACTAGATTTTCAATTTCTCATTCAGCCATGCTCATCATCTTGAAGCAAGAGACATGGGATTACTCTCTCTCTCTCTCTCTCTCTCTCGCACACACACACACACACACACACATATATACACACTTTTAAGGCTCAAAGAATCCATTCACAGGTGCCTCTATCTCTCACCCACAATGGTACCCGTACCCGTGGCCTCACAACATAGCCACCCCCAGAGAGAAAAAATCTAGAAAAAAAATGTAAAGCTGAGAGAATTCAACAACTCCACACCAGAAGCGGAAAAAAAAAAAGAACTCAACATTTCACAAGAATTAGAAAGACACAAGACCATCATGATCAATGCGATACTCCTCCAATGGTCAAAAGCAACCAACTCAGCTATGAAACCTCCTTCAGTCGATGAAGGGAAGAGCCAAAACCGCCCACTAAGGAAGGCTATAAAATCATAAACACTGCATTCTGAAATCTTAGATATATCATTATAAAACTCCTCTACGAAACCTTAGCCCATGTATACATTTTATCCTTCCAAAATAAAAATCGTTATTATATTTTGTCGACCAAATTCATCATATCCGCAATGATATCCAAGAAACTACTTCACCCCAATCTTTCTATTTCCCTAGCCAAATTCATACCACATGCTCCACAGACATAAGATATCACAATTAAGTTCTCTAACCAGAAAGACTTGGGAAAAAAACATTCAAAACATGCTTGAAAGGCAGGCTTCATTGTTAATCTCATACTCATCAACCTAAGACTTCTTTGCACTCTAATCTTATGAATACCACACCATCCAGCTACAGGTATGTAACTTTTATCCCATCCAAAGCTCCACATGAAGCCTTTAGACCTTGCTACTAGCATCTTCAATAGAGACATCATACACTAGAGAATGCAAGAAAAGGTTGAGCAGATAAACACAGATCTTTTTTACTTTTTTTCTTTTTTTTTTGAGAATGTTAACTTGATAAACACAGATCTACCTCCAGAGGAAATGTAAACACCCACAACTTGTTAATCTATGATGAACTCTTGCCACTATTGCGTTCCACCAGCACCTCTAAGGTACTCCAATCCAGAAAGCGAGCACATGCAATTATTTGAAAGTAAATATAACCTACATCCAAAGTGTGTTCTGCACTACCCAGTCATCATGTAATCCGATACCCTTAACTTTCTCTTCATCAAACTTTTGTCCCACAAAAAACTTGAAAAGTAAATCACCAAACCTATGGTAATAAGGTCAATCACAATGCCCTAGATACAAATGAAAGGTGAGTGAATGGGTCAACAATGAAAAACATTTAATGAAACCTCATCTGTTAGCTCCTTAAAATATTCATCTAATATTGAGAATAAGAAAGGATGGATGGATCTTGATGCCACCAGACCCTCCAGCTCTACAAGATCAGTTCCTAATGGAAAACTAACGTAATATTAAATAAGCTCAGCCAAGAACCTCATTATACAGAACTCAAAATATCCTCGTGCTGCATGAGAGAAACAGAATCCAAGTCAAAATGATCATGGACAGGTCAACTACATAAATTGCACCTGGTAATATTCTCTCTATATCTGAAGTTCAAAAACCTATACGCCATCAATGCTCAATTCAAGATCAAGCATCAGTGAACAACAGCCCTTGATCGAGGATTTGGAGTTCATCATTTCCACTCTTTGAGCCAAAAGATTGGCTACAGCATCATTTACGTGCTCACCAACACAGTCATTTCCAATTGTCATATACATCCTCCAGCCAAATTGCATGGGACCATCAAGAAATAAGAACCATTACAGCGTCAAATTTACCCCGACCACATTACAGTAATTATCAGATCTTACAAAGAGCTGAAGAAAACCCCATCCAACAAAATTCCAACTGTAAAAGCGAATAAGTACTATGTAATCATTAAGACCCAATGCCTCATGCACACAATAGAAAAGACCAGTGTTTTAAAACCCACGATTCCTGATCTGGATCACTGATCCGAATGGGGAGTCAGTCGAAACCAATCCGATTCTGGGATGGTATGGGTCCCAGCCCAATTCCCCCCTAAAAAATTCCCTTATATATACGAGTGTGACACGCATGCATGCAAGCATGCACACACACACTCATTTTTTTAATCTCATCTAATGTTTTCTTAAGTCCATCCTAAATCCCCAGCCCATAATCCCTATTTTAATTAAATTTTATTTATTTGTTTTTTAATATTATTCTGGATCACCATCTCAAACCAATCCAGATCGCCAATCCAGCAATCCAACATAGATCTGTGGGGTGAACAATTCACCCAACGGTCCAGGTTTTGAAACATCGGAAAAAACCATTATGAATATTATTCAACTGCATACTCACCAAATTGGCACACAACATGTGAAATGCATGGTCTATGTGCTTGAACAGTTGCATGACTAGCCGGGATGGGTGGTCAATGAAACCACACGCCCAATGAGGATATTCAACCATAACTAAATATTTAACAAGAGGATACAGCAGCTAAGACATCATTGTTAAACCTATCCATGATTGGTTGATGAAAGTGTTACGGTTGTTACCAACCGATGGTTGGGTGCAACGAATCAAACTAAAAATTATTGGTTTCTAAAAATAAGATTATTTTGGTTAACCTTTCTCAATAATATACATAAATAAATAAGATTATTTTGGCAGTCTTAACTCATTTTAGATCTTTAAAACGTTCGCATAGAAACTGAGATGCTCTGCGTATTAGAAAGACCATTCATGTAAGGGATTTTATAGAAGGGATAATGTTGCTACCATAATTTTGGCAGTCTTTAACTTATTTTAGATCTTAAAAACATTCAAATAGAGACTGGGATGCTCTGTGTATTAGAAAGATTGTTCATGTACGGGATTTTATAGAAGGGATAATGTATCTCTTATGGTACAAGAGTAACCCCTAGAAGAGGGGCACTGAAAGAAAATATACTTGTATTATAAGTTAATTAGTCCAACAAACTTCAGGTTTTCTGATAATTGTAGAGAAATTGGAGGACAAGGAGGAATTTGCTTGCACAGTCAACCAAATTACTCCTTAATTGAGCATGCAAATATCATTTCTCCAATATGAAATATTTGAAATGAAAATACCATCATCATCTTCTTCCAAGCCTTATACCATCAACATTTATGACATTAAAAAAACATTTTTTTACCGAAGAAAAGAAATCTGTCAAGTTCATAAAAAACAAAGCTCGATCCCATATATTAGATGGCTACCACAGCACGGTCTTCCTTTCACACGCGCTTCCTTTCCTCTTTGCAACCAAGCCCGACCTATCCATCAAACCAGACATTGTAAATTGTATCAACCATCCTTCCTACAACCATTATGTAATTAGTAGCCTAACCCTCAATGTGCCCTTAAAGTCTCTCCATTTCCGTGTCCAAATAAGTTCTCTTAAGAGATCCCCTCTCTCCTGGAGCATGACCAGAACATTAGTGTAATAATTTCTCTCTCTTAAATAAAGCTAAAAACATTCATGTCTAACATGCCTTAATGAACTACAGCATTTCCAATTTCTCATTACTTCTTTTGATATAAGATAATGCGAAAGCTACTTCAAGTTGCGTTGCTTTTTCAGTAAGTAAGCATTTCCTGTTTCCTGAAGATCCAAAATAAAACAACTGGGCAATTTACAAGGTAACTAATATTACAAACACGCACATGCACATGCAAAGGCATGCGCACACGCATGTACACACACGCACACACCCACACCCACACTCACACCCACACCCACACACATACACAGAGATATATGAGTGTGTCCACACACACATGTATACACATATACACATATATATATATGCCCATATATAAGTGCCCGTGCATACATCACACACACACACACCGACACATACCCACGCACGCACACAAGCGAGGACAGACACACAAACACAGAGACTGTTGCATGCATGTGTACACGCACAGATATTAACTTCATCATTTGCAGCCATTTCATTCAATTTTTCCAGACATGTTATGATTCTTTTCTTTCTGGTTGTTAACATTGTAGATCATGTCAAAAACATACAAGGAAAAAACAAGTAAGGGGGACACAATAAATCACAAAATAGCATCTCACGGGTTAAAGGTCAGGTAGGGCTACAGTACCATTTCAGGTAGGTAGGGTTAAACATACAGTCTTTCTTTTTTGTATAGAGGAATTATCACTCAACTCTTCTCTTCCAATATAAAGAAAATCCTCCAAGAAATTCTTCAATATAGAATTAAATTTGAGTAGGAATTTTACATCTAGTTGCATGAAGCATAAAATCAGTAAGAGAAAAGAACGAGAATAAAAAAGCAAAGAAAAGACTGACCCTTCTCGAAAAAATATAGAATACATGGTAAACATTCTTGTACAAAGCACTAAAGAAAGGCATATTTGATAAAACGAACCAAGAAAAAGTCCAACATGAACAACATATAGAGACAGAGAGATCATATTTCCAACATTTAATAACTGAATTAGATAGACGGTGATGTAGGGACATATTGACATGATATAAAAGCAAATGAGATGATAAATTTCCTACAAAAATTCAATATTCAGCAGCAAGAACAACAATAAATCCCAGAAAAGAAGATAATTTCGATACAATTTCAAAAGGAATAACAACAAATACATAGATAGAAATAAAAACAAAAACATAGGAAAAAATAATGACAGATAATGAAAGTCAATGAGGAGGAAGATGAATCGATCACTAGTTTTTTTTTTTTGAACATGTTAACCTTTAATTTAAGAAAAGATCACTAGTTCAATAACAATAACCATTACATAAATCAATTGTTCAATAACAGCAACAGCTACAGTCGATATCTAATCCAAACTCCAAAACACATAACTGTGAGCATATAGAGATATAGATGAATTGCCATAATCCAACATATAAGGCATGTGAGAATATCCATTGTAAGATAGGTATCAAAAAAATTGAAAACCCTCACTAAAAAAGTCAATTTAATCAAACCACAACAATGATGAGAGAAAAAAATGCTACAGATAGAAAAGAATGATGGGTATAAAGAGATAAGATTAGAATTAGAGAAAGAGAGAGATTATCCGAACCACATAAGGGGTATAAAACACCAGCTTCCACGGAAAAGACCAAAAAAAAAACATTGGGAAAGATGTAGCAGGATGATAGAAACCAAATAAAACAATCCAAATCAATCAAACTTTCACCAACAACAATTGCATTACTAGACATTATACCTACTTAGACACAAACTGGAGATGACACACCTCAAATTTCTCCCACTTGATCAGCAAGTACCCCATTACCCACAAAAACCAGGCATGGACCCCATATTCAAGATCAGAACCAATTATTTATAAGACGAACCCCATAGATTACATCAACATTATAAACAAAAGAAAAACCATTTTGTCATAGAAACCAATCACATATCCAATATTCAAGAAGAAAACTGAAACTTCTAATCGAAAAACCATTAAATTTTCAATCCATGTTCAACAATGAAATCAAACCTCCGTCCAATAAGATTATCAAATATATTCAACAAGTAGACCAAAATATTCATAGACAAAAAAACAGAATTCACCAACTCAAAAATAATAACAAAACCAGCAAAAGAACCATAAAATTACCTCAAGTTTTTCTGGGATTTCCTTCTGAGCATTAGGGTCTGAGCCCCAAACACTCTGAGGAGGCGCAGTGGTTGCATAGTAATCATCCTCATCATCATCTGCGTCAGCCCAAGACTTCACAGTGAGAGGAGCTGGTGCCCAAAACACCCGCGCTTGCTCTTCTGAATCCTTCGATGAACCTTTGCTCTTCTTCAATGAATCAGATTTCTCAGACTTCTTCTTTCTTCGAAGGCTTTCAAGGGCAGCGAATACATTACGGTTCATCCCCATGGACCCATCGTCCCTCCTGCTGTTTCCCCCTCCAACCATTCTACCGCTGAATCAACCAGTGCTCTCTCTAGGTTTTCTCTCTCTAGAAATGGTTTCTCTTTCTTCCTGGTGGGCCTCGTTTTGGAGGGGTTCTTGTTGTTGGGGTGTAGGTTTTCCGATGTTGGGTGTGGCGGTTGCTCTGATGGATGGGAACTAGAGAGAGAAAGAGAGGTGGGGTTGAGTTCAGGTGGGGATTTGCGGTTACAGAAGGATCGGATATGGCAGTTTAGAGAGAGAAACAGAGATGGGGAGGAAGAAGGGTTCAGACGGAGAGGTGGAGATAATGCTTCAGCATTGTATAGATGGCGTGCCTTATATATGAAACCCTCTTCATATCTCTCCCCTCTCTCTCTCTCTCTAACCTCTTCTTGTCTCTCTCCTCTCTCTCTCTAACCTCTCTCTCTCTCTCTCTCTCTCTCTACCTCTCTCTCTCTCTCTCTCTCTCTCTACTCTCTCTCTCTCTCTCTCTCTCTCTACTCTCTCTCTCTCTCTCTCTCTCTCTACTCTCTCTCTCTCTCTCTCTCTCTCTCTCTCTCTCTCTCTCTCTCTCTCTCTCTCTCTCTCTCTCTCTCTCTCTCTCTCTCTCTCTCTCTCTCTCTCTCTCTCTCTCTCTCTCTCTCTCTCTCTCTCTCTCTCTCTCTCTCTCTCTCTCTCTCTCTCTCTCTCTCTCTCTCTCTCTCTCTCTCTCTCTCTCTCTCTCTCTCTCTCTCTCTCTCTCTCTCTCTCTCTCTCTCTCTCTCTCTCTCTCTCTCTCTCTCTCTCTCTCTCTCTCTCTCTCTCTC